TATGATTTAAAAGAATAGCACTATATATATGGGGGGGGGGGGCTATAATGTTCATGGATTGTTCAATGACATCAGAGGAAGTACCAAATTATCTATGTATGAAGTAAATTTTAAAATGATTTATTATTAATATGTATTTTTTGTATTTTTCAGAAATTACCCCAAATCACAAGAAGAATGGATCCAGTTACTACAACAACAAAGACAGCTACATGAGAGTGAAATTGACAGATGGAAGGAAATCATTACATCCTCAATAGATCTTATAGATAGAGTAAGAAAAGGCTTGCTTCTCCAGGACAGAACTATGTTCACCTTCATAATATACATGTACCGTATTATGTAAAGATAAATTTTCTTCAAGCTTTTCGTTTTGTGGAAATCAAAAAATATATTCATCCTAAGCTTCATTCATTCCATACAATTCCTACAGATGTAATTTACTGTATACAGTATTATATATACCTATTGAAAATAATAAATACTGCATGCTTATATTGAATTTTTTTTCTTGTTAATTTTGCAGATAAAAGGCACATTGGGGGATGTGAAAAACAGTTTAGAAGGCAGACTACAGAATTCAGACATTTTTAAAGGAGAGAATTCATAACATAGAGAAACCAGTTCAAAACTGGTGTCATTTCCCTATTTCTATAATTAATACAAAAACGGGTAGCTGGCTACTTGTTATGGGGTATTGTAAACATAAAATTCTTTGTCATGTTCTCCTCATGAAGTTGATCATGTTTTGATTTTAATTTTAAAAAAAATAAAAATATCTAGATTATAGCAACTTCTACATGTACATGTAGTTAATTTATTTTTTAAGTTAATTAATGTCAAGCATCTGTTTCAGATATGATTGTCACCTTTTTTCGAACAAGTTTAACAGACAGTATTTCATTGTTGTTACAGTATAAAGTACTATAAAATTGTTTTAAAGATTTCATAACTTTGTGAAGTATAAGATTAATTTATTAGCTTATTGAGCCAGAGGCTGTCATTTTTAATATACATGCATGTGTACTAAAAGTAGATTTATTTTGCATCAGTTTAATTTTCATGTTTACCGTAAATACAAAACAGATTTATTTTAAGAAAACTTCTTACAAGATTAGTTTAGAAAACATTAAGATACATATAGTTCTGTAAAAATGTTGTTACTTTTAATACAATCCATCAGAGTTACAGTCTCATCAGCAGTTTCTGGTGTCATGCAGAAAAAATAAATGGGATAACATTTAGAGTGAGGTTTTTTAAATTTTGACATTTTTTTTTCACTCAATCATGCATTTCATAATGGTTATATGATTTACAGAAAATGATTGGAATCTGGTATTCATTTTTAATTTTCTCACAATTTAATTTCATCCTATTGTTGTATGCTGTTACTAGATCTGCAGACAATATCTTAATTGAATTGAAATTTGTTTCTTCATTGTAAAGGCAAATTTTATGTGATTGAAGCAGGATTTGAACCTTTCATTAATTAGCATGTGACTACTCCTCAAATTTTCATTATTAATGAAATAAGATTTGCAGTAGATCTTAAATTTATTTCAGTGAAAATGATGTATCATTATTTTTGCATATAAATTTATTTCCATTTTGACACTTGTAGTGCTTTCAGATATGTAGCATGATATAGTACAAAGCTTACAACATGTGTCCCACATAATAAAGCTTATTTCTTAAAGGATCAGACGCCAAAGATGCTAATCATATGTTGAACCAAAGTTAACCAAAGTTAACATTGAAATGGATGAATGATTCACTCACCAAATCCTAATCGTATTTGATGTTTAAAATGGAATTCAGTGTGCAATAACTATACTTAATACATTACTGTAACATATATTTGACCAAAAATTGCTGGGATAGGCATTAGCTAGACAATACACATAACTCTTTCCACTTTGTTAGTTATGTTGTAAGCGGGGGCATGTTGTCCTTAGGGTTAGGTGCTTTTACAAATCATGTGTACGATTATCCATTTATTTTTGTGAGTGCAATTTTTTGTTTATCCTTCTTCTGATCTCACCATTGTTTTATGAAATACTTCATAATCATTGTGATATGTTGTCCAAAAAGTCATCACGTGTTATTTTATTTTGAGAGTACTCCATATGCTGTCACCCCCCAGATGAATATAAATTGGCACACTATGATATTCTGGCATTGTTCTCCTGATGATAGGAATAAAATTGAGCATCTAAATCAACCATGAAGTGCCTCAATGGTTATCATTGAATACTCATTCCTTACCTCAAAACAAAAATTAATAATCAGTTAATTAGTTTACACCTTCATTTTTTTCTCTATTGAATAGAGAACTGAATCAATACAAATGACCATGTACATTGCTGATTCCATGTTTAAGTTTTCTCTTGGAAAAATGAACTCTAAAATTAATAAGGATTAAATAAAGGAGTGTATATTAATTTACATTTGTTGAGTTCACATATAAAGACTAATACATACATTCTGTATACTAGTTTTATCAACATATCAATGCTGGTTGTTATACATATGTCTTTGTCCTGAGTCCCCATTTCAAAATTACACCCTCCCCCCTATTTTTTTTGGATAATTGGTATAAAAAGCTGTTCTTATATCCAACATTCAAAATTTTCCTTGATGGGTCATTGGGTTGATCAATACATATTTGTTTTGCAACACCATAGATTTGAATCTTAGTGCTTTTCATATGTGATTAAATGAGGTATATATTTTGTTTATTTATTATTTTCTCGTGCCTTTTCTCATGAAGAATTTCATCATAACTTTCTACAAAATTTACTAGTACTTTTCTGCTGTCTTTTTATTATTATAAATCTTGCTATTTTTTTATCATTCTCACAGTTTCAGGAAATCTCTCACATCCAAGATTTATTTCTAGCACTTGCTAGAAGGGTGTTCCTCTTATGATAGTGCAATGTACTGTCTCCAAAAATAATTCATCTAAATGCTCTTACTCTTTGTTGATTCTTAGAAAGTCATTATCCAGAGTGTATGTTTTCTTTTATTTTATGAAATAGATTATTGAAATAAAGTTTATGATGATAAAATCCATTTTTGTTGCATTTTTGTTGTACCTGGAAGCCAATACTAAACTGAAATTCCAAAAGTTCATATAAACATACAGTGAATGTTTACATGTACAATCAAATCCACCCCCCCCCCCCAAAAAAAAAAAAAAGAATATTTGACCAGAGATTGTGATGTGCTAACATAAAAAATTACCAAGTTTTCTTGAAGAAATGTGTGTTAATGCCATTATGTCAAATGTATATTTGCTCTGCATAAAGTGACATTATACATATATTTCTAGCATTGATGAATTTGTAGGAAGACAGACCTAAACCAGGGGATCGCCGACTTGTGACGTCATAGTAGCGATCTCCTTGCAATTACAGCGCACTCACAGGGATATACAGAAACAAACTCCCTGTAATCAAAGCAGAATTGTCACATCATAAATTGTTGTATTCTTTTAAGGGACAACAAAAAATAGAGTAATCAGTCATTTCTCTAAGCTTCCTTCTTCGAAATGATCTCAGTTAACAACTTCTGAAGTTATAACTTTTAAACTAGAAGTAACTTAGTTTGAGAATTCCTTTGATTCTGTACATTCTTTAATCAGAGTTGTCCTTCCTTTACACATTAGACTTGAAGAAAATAAATATTGGATGTATAATATATAAATAAAGTTCAGAAACAAGTATATGTATGTCACAAAATTCAATTTTAATTATTAAAGCCTATCATAATATCAGAAAAGAACAGTCTTTATGACATCACTAATATTATATACTTCTAAAGAAATGCACAATTGTTTCCCATACATGCCAACTTTTGAAAATTCTCATGGGGGATTTTGCGCGTGACGACAATTTTCAAAGCTTTAAATTCGCGACATTTTGTCGTGAAAATAAATGATTATGAAATACTTTTTTTTTGAAATTATAATATTGATAGCACTTATTAATACAGCACAAATAAAACAATACAAATTAAAGTTTTATTTTTCCAAATTTAAATATCTTTGCTTAATAGTTGTCATTCTGTTCTATCAATTTACATTTTGTTTCTGGTATGTACCCTTAAAATCAAGTGTCACTTTATTCCCTAAAAGTAAGTACATGTATATAGAGAGTGCATGATTAATTTTATCTCACACACAAAACAATTAGGAGAAATAGGCCTAATTAAATTTTTTTAACACAAGCCCCACCCCCCACCCATCCCAAAGAAAATTAAAATTGTAAAAGACTACATCATGAACATGATGAACTTTTGCAGTCTTGGTAATGCCATATGGGTCTCTGGTATTTCCTTGACATATATGTAACAAAGAAATACAATGTACAATATGAGTATGATCTATGGGGGGGGGGGGGAATTCAGTGTACCTAACATGAGAGTATTATTTAATCTAAATTATTTTCAATATTTTTTTTAAATTGACAAATTATACAATATTTTTATTATTAGCAGTTAAAATCAGCAGCTATATATGCTTTGAAATTTTCTACTTTCGTTTTCAAAAAAACGATCTTTTTGGATTCCAATTTTATTGTTTGATTATCATTTTATTGACTTTAATTTTTGTTTTTAATAAAATGACTACTAATTAAGCCCTTAATCTATGTGTTTCACTTCGCATACCCCTTCAAACTGAAAAAGATTGTCCCCTAACTGCTCCAGGCTATAAGCTACCTGTACCTGGACAGCAGCCTGTGCGTTCAAGCGAGAAGTGATTTCCTGTGGCTAATTAACTCTGCTTGCTATGTAAACAATGAGACTTGTATGTGTGCATTGAATAAACAACTCTGATATTCTTATCCCGATTGACAAAATTCGGCGGTAGGGAAACTGAAAATCTGAATTTTTTCAAATCGGGAAATTGGGGCAATTTTTCTCTCCCGATCGGGAAGGCGGGACGAAAGGGTAAAATCGGGAGAATCCCGCCTAAATCGGGAAAGTTGGCATGTATGGTTTCCTTCATTTTATGAAGATAAATTACAATATTAAATTAGTTTTAACATGTTGAAAACAATATAAAGATTTGATCATCATGGCAATGATATGCTCCAATGCATGATAGATAAAATTTATTCATACAAATGTCAATAATTTATTCAACATGAACTGGGTACTGTTACTCTCTATATGGCAAGACACATACAACAATAAATGGATGACTGAACAGCATTGTCTCCAGAGCCCCGTTCACTTAACATGTTCGTGTCCAATTCATCATCATAACCTAACCCTATTAACCAGCATCATCTCCTGAGTCCCGTTCATCTAACATGTCTGTGTCCAGTTCATCATCGTTTGTGTCACTCTCATCATCGTCATCTCCCTCGTCATCGTCCTCATCTTCATCATCATCCTCTAAATGCTATAAACAGTCCAAAATGAAAAAAATCATTGTTTAAAAATTTTAACAAAGAGTACGTGGCTAATTTTCACGTAATATTGAACAGTCTAACAAATCCTTGAAGGAAAGAAGTTAACTGGCAGAAACATGACAAAATTAAAATGTCCTTACCTCTGATGCAGTTTTCCCTACTGGAACTATATTGTTGTCTTTCTTGGCTATGCTTTCAAGCTTAAAAATATTGTTATAATTATTCATTACATATCTGTCACGTCTAGAAAGCTCTCCATTACGTTAATATCACAAAAACACAGAACAACGTACTGTTCTACATACCCAAAGGTCGTGTGCCTTCTCTAGCTGTTCCAACTCATTTTCATCATCACAAGGACGGTCCACTGTAAACCACAGAGGATCTATAGCCCCGGGAACAAGACTGGGGAAGCGAAACGTCATTACAATGTATATATTTTCTACAGTACTTGATTTTGTTTTCAAACGAATTGCAACTGGAAATAGCTAATTCGTACATAGTAGATAAAACCCCAACAGTAACCTTTGGAATTCCGGATTCCTTTTTTCGATAAAAAATATAACCCGCTCTCTTCTGTATAAGATAAAGAATAACAAGAGGCCCAGGGGCCACAGCACTCACCTGAGCTCATTGGCTAGGAAAAAGCACATATCAGATCAGAACTAAAAATTTACTGAGGTGGGGGGGCTTGAATTTTAACCCCCGGGGGTTCATGATTTGAACAAACTAGAATCTACACTACCTGAGGATGATTCCATATAAATATCACTAACCATGGATTTGACTACTTGAATTAAAAGGTTTGACTTTCCCTATATATCCCTATGTAAAACTTGGGTCGGCCATTTTGGCCCCACCCTGGTCCCGGGGGTCATGATTTGAACAAACTTGAATCTACACTACCTGAGGATAATTTTACATGAGTTTCATCTTTCCTATCACAATGGTTCTTGAGAAGATTTTTAAAAAGTTTTCAAATATTAATTCCTATGTAAAACTTTGATCGGCCATTTTGGCCCCACCCTAGCCCTGGGGGTCATGATTTGAACAAATTTGAATATACACTACCTGAGGATGATTCCACATGAGTTTCATCTTTCCTGGCCCAGTGGTTCTTGAGAAGAAGATTTATAAAGAGTTTTCCTATATATTCCTATGTAAAACTTGGGTCGGCCAATTTGGCCCCACCCTAGCCCCAGGGGTCATGATTTGAACAAACTTGAATCTACACTACCTGAGGATAATTTTACATGAGATTCATCTTTCCTGTCTCAATGGTTCTTGAGAAGAAGATTTTTAAAGATTTTTCCTATATATTCCTTTTAAAAATTTGATCGGCCATTTTGGCCCCATCCTTGCCCCAGGGGTCATGATTTGAACAAACTTGAATCTACACTACCTGAGTATGACTCCACAAGAGTTTCATCTTTCCTGGCCCAGTGGTTCTTGAGAAGAAGATTTTTAGAGAGTTTTCCTATATATTCCTATGTAAAATTTGGGTCGGCCATTTTAGCCCCACCCTTGCCCCGGGGGTCATAATTTCAACAAACTTGAATCTACACTACCTTAGGATGATTCCACATGAGTTTCACTTTTCCTGGCCCATTGGTTCCTGAGAAGAAGATTTTTGAAAAATGCCATTAATTTTTCACTAATTCATAATTATCTCCCCTTGGAAAAGGTCGTGGCCCTTCATTTGAACAAACTTGAATTCCCTTCATCTAAGGATACTTTGTGGCAAGTTTGGTTTAAATTGGCCCAGTGGTTCTTGAGAAGAAGATGAAAATGTGAAAAGTTTACGCCGACGACAGACGAAGGACAAATTTTGATCAGAAAAGCTCACTTGAGCCTTCGGCTCAGGTGAGCTAAAAACACATGGAAAGAATTGAAATTGGCACACGATTAGAGAACAAAATTATAAATAGCAAACTTTAATTTAAACAAAATGCCCATGGGCCACAACGCTCACTTTAGTAATTTTGGCTCTGCTGTTCCCATTGCAATACCTATTGTGGCGCCACAATATCGCTGGGGGTCATGAATTGAACAATTTAGAATCTACACTACCAAGTATGCTTCCACTTAAGTTTCCAGATTTTCTGGCCAAGTGGCTCTTGAGAAGATTTTTCCTATATATTTCAAATGTTCAGCTTAAAACTAGCTTGGATTCCCTTTTTAGCTCACCTGAGCCAAAGGCTCAAGGGAGCTTTTCTGATCACATTTTGTCCGTCGTCCGTCTGTAAACTTTTCACATTTTCGACTTCTTCTCAAGAACCACTGGACCAATTTCAACCAAACTTGCCACAAAGTATCCTTGGGTGAAGGGGATTCAAGTTTGTTCAAATGAAGGGCCACGTCCCATCCCAAGGGGAGATAATTAATAATTACTGAAAAATTAATGGCAATTTTCAAAAATCTTCTTCTCAAGAACCACCGGGCCAGGAAAGATGAAACTTATGTGGAAACATCCTCAGGTAAAGTAGATTCAAGTTTGTTCAAATCATGACCCCCGGGGGAAGGGCAGGGCCACAATGGACGATCAAATTTTTACATAGGAATATATTGGAAAAAATCTTTAAAAATCTTCTTCTTGAGAACAGAAAAACCATGATTGGTCATATTTATATGGAAGCATCTTCAGGTAGTGTAGATTCAAGTTTTTTCAAATCATGACCCCCGGGGGTAGTGTGGGGCCAAAATGGCCGATCAAAGTTTTACATAGGAATATATAGGAAAAATCTTAAAAAGTCTTCTTCTTGAGAATAGCAAAGCCATGATTGGTCATATTTATATGGAAGCATCCTCAGATAGTGTAGATTCAAGTTTGTTCAAATCATGACCCCCTGGGGTAGGGCAGGGCCACAATGGACAATCAAGTTTTGCATAGGTGTATATAGGAAAAATCTTCTCGAGAACAGCAAATGATTGGTCATATTTATATGGAAGCATCCTCAGGTAGTTTAGATACAGGTTTGTTAAAATCATGACCCCTATCTTTGGGTGGGACCACAATAAAAGTTCAAACTTATAGGGAAAAAATCCACTGTAGTTAGTCAAAAAATATGTAAGCATTCTTAGTTAGTATAGATTCAAGTTTGCATAGATAGAAGTTTGTTCAAATCATACCCCCTTCCCCCTTTTTAGGATTGGGACCACTTAGGTTTTTTCCTAGCCACAGTGCTCAGGTGAGCGATGTGGCCCATGGGCCTCTTGTTAAATATGGCCCGCCATATCCCGGGAGTCATGATTTGGACTATTTAAAATCTACACTATCCTAGGATGCTTCCACATAACTTTCAGCATTTCTGGTGCACTGATTCTTATGAAGACTTTTTAAATAATATTTTTCATATACATGTATTTCAATGTAAAAATTGGATCCCCTATATTGTGTCCCCTCCCTAGTCCCAGGGGTCATGATTTTAGAATCAACACTACCCAAAGATAATTCCACATAAGTTTCAGCTTTTATGGGCCACTGGTTCTTCAGCCTTAAACGCTTCATTTTAACAATTTAAACACCCTTCACCCAAGGATGCTTTGTACCAATTTGGCCAAGTGGTTCTGAGAAGTTGCAAGTGTGAAAATCAGAAAAACTCACTTGAGCTTTCAGCTCAGGTGAACTTAAATTTTACCAAATCAAAGTATGCAAAGCACAGATATTTAATTTATTACTTTTATTATACAATGGGTTAAAGTTTTATTGCTGAATCAGGTGCCTGCGATGCAAAGGTGCAAATGACCTATATTTTTTCTTGGTTTAAATGTTCATATTTCATAAAATGAAAACTAACCATTCAGTTGTGAAATTTTCGAGTAAAAATGGTTAACCGTTATTATTATTCTCCCTTAACAAAGTAAGTAAAGCCACAGACTTGATGGAAAGTTGTTAATATCCATGTTACCTATAGACTCTTTTGGGTTCTGCCTTGAATTCTTATTTTTGGATCTCTTTTATAACATCACCTGACAAATTATCATACTTCTCTATCATGTGGTATTCTATAGCTTGTCAAGATTTGCAGAATTACAAAATTATTTCATGTAATTAATCCATTACTTTCTTTTTTTAAATATTCAAAGAAAGAAATGAGAGAAGAAAATTTTCAAGACAGAGCTTTTAATATACTAATTCTTTCATTTGTCAAAAATGTCCTTATTAATTTTTCGACTGGTTCTTCACTTCGTCCAACTTGTTTCACCATGGTTTGTTTGAAGTCCTCCTTGACTCCTTTATTAACTCCCCTTGTCACAGTTCTCTGTCTGAAAAAGAAAGTTCATTTATCTTCCTGTATGTAAAAAGATGACAAAATCGGGTTTAATATTGTAATTATGGTATAAATTTTGAATTTAAAATACTACTAGTAGTAATAAAGCTTACTGGGAGATAACTTTTACACTGGTTGGCAAAATATCCAGATTGACTTTTCCTCCTTCTGGTGTTTTCAGAAATGCAAATTCCTCAAGGATATCAACATCTGTACTCAGGGTCAAGGTTCAAAACACAGATGCTAGCAATTTTACACTCCAATTTAGAAAAAAAATCAGAGGAGGTGTACTGATTAAAAAATATACACTAGGTGAAATTAGAACAAACTAATTCATTCCTAAACCAAAGGATACTTATAACATAGTTGAAGAACTGATTGTAAACAAGGCTGTTTTGCTGTATGACTTTCTTCAAGACTTCGTAAAACAAAGCTTCAGACTTCGGCCAATCATATTGCAGTAATACCACCATGTGACCTAGTGATGTGTCATCGCCTTTCGAGGAAAATGCTTTAGACTGCAAAGAAGAAGGTATGGTTTTAGCTTTATTGCGCCCTAAAAATGTAATGACATCAAAAAGTTTTGAAACTGGCTTAAATATTAGTTAAATAAATGACTCTGATAAATCAGGAAAGAATATGGCATGAAGGTTTACAATTCTGCAAATAAGACATCATTAATGTGAAGCATTTCTCTATTTTCAACAGAAAAGCCTCAAAATGGCACATTTCAAGGGAGATTTTCCTTTAGAAAACAGTGTCCACAGCCATCGCCCATGTTCATTTTTTGATATTTTGTGCAAAATTATTATACCTTAAGAGCAGCCAGAAGTAGCTGTATACAGTATGGGAGAATCTCAGCTTCTGTACACTTTGTCAACCAGAGTTGTCTGCCCTTGGCTCCTGTTGGCTCTGATGGATTTGAGACAGGTAATCTGTCATGTGTATATGGCAGATCTTTAATTACATTCAACACCAACTCACAGGCTTTCTACAAAATAGGATTTAGAAACAAAATTTAACACAATGCAGGCTTCATAAACTTGATGTACTTGTACTCTTATTAAATACTTAGATATGAAGTTCCCCTAACTGGATTACAGTAAGTAGAATGAAAGTGTCACCTGTCATAAGTATTTTTGACTTATAACTACTCACTGAATATTTCTGCAGACAATAAAAGCAGCAGGCCATTTGCAGATTACTTCTTAGTTGCATG